GGCCTGGGCGCTGTCCCTCAGCTCTTCAGCTCAAGGCGAGTGCTCTACCACTTGAGCTACAGCGCCACTTCCAGTTTTCTGGTGGTTTATTGGAGTCTCACGGTCTCTCCTGCCCGGGCTGGCTTTGAACCGAGATCCTCAGATCTCAGCCTCCTGAGTAGCTAGGATTATAGGCGTGAGCCACCAGCGCCTGGCTAGGACCTCACACTTTTGCTTAGTTTTTGATTCAAGGCTGACATTCTACTACTTGAGCCACAGTTCCACTTCTGGCCTTTTGCTGGTTAATTGGAGATGAGTCTCAAATTGCCTAGCTTTGAATCATGATCTTCAAATCTCAGCCTCCTGAGCCACCAATGGCCTGGTTTACCATTAAGAACTTTAATAGCGGGCTAGGAAGGTAGCTCAGTGGTAGAATGCTTGCCTTGCATGCATGAGGCCCTGGGTTCGATTCCGCAGCACCACATAAACAGAAAAAAGCTGGAAGTGGCGCTGTGGGCTCAAGCGGTCGAGCGCTCACCTTGAGCTGAAGAGCTGAGTTCAGGCCCAGAGTTCAGGTCCACGACTGGCCAAAAAAAAAAAAAAAAGAACTTTAATAGCCAGGTACAGCTAGTTGTGAGCCCAGCATTGGCCGTCCATGCCTATAATCCTAGCTACTCCGGAGGCTAACTTCTGAGCATCACAGTTGGAAGCTAGGCCAGACAGGCAAGTCTAAGAGACTCTTATCTCCAATCAACCATCGAAAAGCAGGAAGTGGAGCTGTGACTCAAGTGGTAGAATGCTACCCTTGAGTGCAAAAGCTAACCAAGAGCACAGGCCTCAAGTTCAAGTCCCAAGGCCTAGCGACCCTCCCCCCCACCCAAAACAAGGGCCAGATTCTGATGGCTCGTGCCCATAATCCTATCTGCTTAGGAAGCTGAGATCTGAGGGTTGAGGCTCAAAGCCTGCCTGGGCAGGAAAGTCTATGAGACTTTTCAATTAACCAACAAAAAAAGCCAGATGTGGAGCTGTGGCTTAAATGGTAGAGCACTAGCCTTGAGCAAAAAAGTTCAGAAACCGTGCCCAGGCCCTGAATTCAAGCCCCAGGACCAGCACATGCATGCATGAGCGCGCGCGCGCGCACACACACACACACACACACACACCCTGAAGAAAATAAGTCAGATATCTGTAGGTAAGAATAGATGTTTGTCTAGACACCAGTGGCTCATACCTGTAGTCCTAGCTACTGAGGAGGCTGAGGTCTGAGGATGGTGGTTCAAAGCCAGCCTGGGCAGGAAAGTCCGTGAGACTCTAATCTCCAATTAATCAGAAAACTGGAAGTGGCACTTTGTCTAGTGGTAGACTGCTTGCCTTGAGCTGAAGAGCTCAGGGACAGCTCCCAGGCCCAGAGTTCAAGCCCCACAACTGACTGAAAAAAAAAGAATAGGTGTTTGTTGTTCTTTATAATTTGTAGTACTTTGCATTTTTTATTCACTTTGTAATTAGATGTGGGCCGGTTCAGGTTCAATGTTAGAATGCTTGCCTAACATGTCAAGTCCTACTTTCTATTCCAAACACTGGGGGGTAGGGGGAAGGAGAAAAAGAAGCTTCCAGTTTATCATTGAGGCCAAGAGAGATATATACCTTTAATCTTGATAGTCCTACTCCAAGAAAATGTTTAGAACAGTATAATATGTTGATGTGTGGATTGGGTGTAGCTTAAATAGTACTAATGTTTTTCTTCTTCTGCCACCAGGGGGCAGACCGGGCTGTTCCTGTCTTGATTATTGGCATTCTGGTATTCCTGCCAGGATTTTACCATTTGCGCATCGCCTACTATGCATCCAAAGGCTACCGGGGTTACTCCTATGATGACATCCCAGACTTTGATGACTAGCATTCATCTCAGCCCTGAAGAGAAGAGTCACAATGTGACTGCATCCAGCTTTAAGATATTGAACAGAACTATAGCTAAGCACTGAGGAATTCTGCACTTTGGATATTTAGCAAAACAATAGCCAGATTCTATGAGTCCATCACAAAAATGTTCACTAAGCTTACAATTAACTAATTAGGACATACTCTGTGCATGTTCTGGCCCTGGCAAAGCTCAAGTTTTTCCACATGAATATGCACAATGAAAGAATAGTAAGATTAATTGTCCAGTAAAGCAGGAGATTATTCTATAGTGGAAAGTATTACCACTAACACCCTCTTTCGAGTTGAACATCTCTTTTAAATAGTCTTCATTGTTGATTTTTTTCTTATAGCAAGTGGAAAAAAAGGGGCCAAGTTCCTAATAACAAAGAAAGTAATTTAAAAAAGCTAAAAAAAACGCCCAACATTAACCCCAACTTCAAGGTCCGGGGAAAAAAAACAAGGGAAAAAACCAACAAATTTTTTTTTTCTTATCAACAGTAACCAGGACTTTTTTAAATTGCCAAGTATGTTTTCAGAATGTTCAACACTTTCTTTGATAACCAATCCTTGGCCAACTCTGAACAACCTCATAGGTTGGCAAACATAATTTGGCTTATTCTGTCATGTGGAGATCAAGACATCTTATCATGCCTTTAAGGACTGGACATTTGGCTGTTTCTTAATGAGAAATGTAGATGGGTGATTATTATTTAGAGTTCATAACCCTGTTGCTAACACTTGCTACTATGACATCATTCTGCTAAAGATTGCAATATTTGGCCTACATTCCTGGAAGATTAGATTGCCTTTCCAGTTGTTTGTTTCCTAGCTTGCAAAAAAAGTGACTTTTATTCAAGAGAAAATGTCAAAATCCAAATCCTAGACTTAAGTGAACTTGAAGCATGATTTTATGGTATCTTTGATCCTAGTACCAAAGACTTTATTTTTAGGTAACTGATATGAATCACTTTCCAGTGAACGTTGCACTATGAGATTGTGGGCTTGGACAGCTAGAAGCCTAGGCATGCCATTACTGATACTTGGAAGGCTGTGAATAGGACAAGGTTTAAGGGAAGATTAGTTCACTTCTGGCTGTGTTACACTCCAGATATGTACCCAGTATTCCTGGGGAGCCATGCAGGAGGCAGTTGCAATGCAGTATCTCCTGGACTTCAGTAGTCAAGTCTTTGGGCAGCTATCTTCAGAGCCATGGAGTTGGTTGAGATCACTAGTGCAGAAAAGAGGAGTTGGAAAACAAAGGACAAAAGAGTGACTCAAAACATCTTTGGGTGCATTTGGTAATGGTAGGAAATCCTGGGACTCTAGTGCTCTGAAGTTCTTAGGCCTTGAAAGTAAAAATGTGAAGTGGCATATAATAATATATACAGTTTTGTTGGGCAGTGCTTGCAAGCTCACACTGGGTGTTTTCAGGCAAATTCAATTACTTTATTTAATAAACAACGCTAATGCTAGTTAGAAAATTCAAAACTGAACAAAAGAGGCTGGATACCATGCCTGTAACCCTAGCTACTCAGGAGGCTGCGTCTGAGGAATATAGTTCGAAGTCAGCCCAAGCAGGAAAGGCCATGAGACTCACCAATTAGCCACCAGAAAACTAGAAGTGGTGCTGTGACTCAAGTGGTAGAGTGCTAGCCTTGAGCAGAAAAACTCAGGGACAGCACTCAGGTCATGGAGTTCAAGCTCCATGACCAAAAAAAAAAAAAAAAAAAATTGAACAAAAACATATCAAGTGGGAAATGAACATTTGCTCCCATATCTCACTTCCTAAGGTTGTCCAGTAAAGTTCCTTGTGTAACTTTCCAGAAATGTTTATAGTATGTAAACATATATGTGTGTGTGTGTTTATATACTGTAAGCCTCCATCCCAAGTTTTTGTTTTTAAAAGATATATATTTTTAAAAATATATATCTTTTAAAAACAAAAACTTGGGATGGAGGCTAGTTACTCATGCCTGTAATTCTAACTACTCAGGAGGCTGAGATCTGAGAATTGCAGTTTGAAGCCACCCTGGGCAGACAAATCTAAGAGACTTTTTTTTCTTTTGCCAATCCTGTGGCTTGAACTCAGAACCTGGGTACTGTCCCTGAGCTGCTGTTGCTCAAGGCTAGCACTCTACCACTAGCCACAGCGCCACTTCTGGCATTTTCTGTTTATGTGGTACTGAGGAATTGAACCCAGGGCTTCATGCTTGCTAAGCAAGCACTCTACCACTAAGCCACAACCCCGGCCCCTAAGAGATTCTTAATCTCCAGTTAACCAGCAAAATATCAGAAGTAGAGTTATGGCACAAGTGGTAGAGCACCATTCTTGAGCAGAAGGAAGCCGAGTTTAAGCCCCAGTATACACACACACATACAATCACACATAACAAAGGGCCCTCATTGTACAGTTATGTAATTTCTGTCCCCCCCCCCACCTTTATGTAAGTGAGGACTTAAACACATTTTTGTCTTTTATTTCAGTGTTGGGAATCAAACTCAGGACCTCACACATATTTTTTTTTTTTTTACCACTGAACAATATTCCCCTCCATAGGAACATTCTCTGTTTTTCTTTTTTTCAAAAAACAGTACTGATCTTTGAACCCAGGACCACATGCTTGCTCTACTACTGAGCCATGCTTCTAGTCCTAGCCACATTCTAAGTGTTATTATCCTGTGCATATATGTAGTTTTAGGATCCTAAAACAGTATCCCCTTAAGAATAACTATTGTTCTGTCCAAACATATTAGAAATTCCATTTCATATAGCTTTGCTACAGAAGTATCTTTTTTTGGGGGGGGGTCTGGTCATGGGGTCTGAACTCAGGGCCTGGGCACTGTCCCTCAGCTCTTCAGCTCAAGGCTAGCGCTCTACCACTTGAGCCACAGCGCCACTTCCGGCTTTTTTCTTTTTGCTTATGTGGTGCTGAGGAATCAAACCCAGAGCCTCATGCATGCAAGACAAGCGCTCTACCACTGAGCCACCTTCCCAACCCTACAGAAGTATCTTTTAGCAGTGTCTCACATCTGTAATTGTAGCTGTCTGACAGGCTGAGATGAGACAGGGTCAATGTTCAAGGCCACCCAGGGCAAGAAATTCTTAAGACCCTTTCCCCCATTTCAACCAATAACTAAACACAATGGTAAACCTCTGTAATCTCAGCTACATGGGAGGATCAAGATCGAGACAACTTCAGCAAAATGTGAGACTGTCTCAAAAATAACAGAACAAAACAGTTTGGTAGTATGGGACTCAATTGATAGAGCTGTTAGGAAGCCCAGATTTCCAACTCCAGTACTGCAAAAAGAGAATTATCTGAAGCCAAAATCCGACTTCCTGTAGCTTCTGTGCACTAACAAGTTATATTCTTTGGTGCTTTATAGAAAATACCTAAATCTCCAATAATGGTGAAAGTTTCTTTTGTCAGAGGTTGTGCTAAATACTGTCATATTCCATATCATTTAATCTTTGGGAAATGCTTAATTAAGATTTCTAGCAGTAGATGGGTATTTGGGACTCGATTAGATGTGTCTTGAGGCTAAGCAATTAAATGAGGGAGGGGACATGGACAGAAAGAGTAGGGAAGAACGTCAGTTGACAAAAGGATATTTGCCCCAAAGCAGCACCTTCTGTTTAAAACTGTTGGCTAAATTGGATGTTCCAAATGCATTTGTGGAAACAGTTGTGCTTCATGTTAAGTCGTTTCCAAGGCTTCAAACAAGCTGTAGCTGCTTCAGCTATTCTGTATGAGGAATCTAGATCCATTACCACTGATCACTTCCATTCTACTGAGAAGTGGTAAATGCTAGAGGCCCAACAGGAAAAGATGCTGCTTGATGTTTGACATATGTTGAAAAGTATCTGTTCTTTTGCAGTATGGACAGGTGGACTCATTTCATGTAATTCAGACCTTGCTAAATGGACCCCTTTCAGCTGCCCAGCAGACCAGGTACTCTCCAAATGGTTGCTGCCTTGTTAGTCAGCTCAGGGTTCACAGTCTACGCCCAGCAGCTAGTATAGAAGAGCCTCGAGTTAGTGTTATGTACCAGGAGAACCTGGTAAAGGGATCATTGGTGACTCACTGCAGTTCTTTGAAGAGCCATTTGCCAGGTCAGCCCTGTGTAGTTGCTAAATTCCTATCTTCAGGCTCCTCTTCTAGGTGTGAATCTAGAAGAGTTTATGTGTTTCATTCGTGATTTACTGCATGGGTGAGAAGAGCACTGACTCATTAGCCATAAAGTATTGGACAAATTATCTCTGGAGCCTTGATCGCTTTATAAAGTTGGGATAACTAGTTTTTAACCTTAGGGAGTAATTAGAATAAAATGAAACAATTCTAAAGGGGGCTCCTGCGTGCAGAGCCTGGTACATGGTAGGGCATTCAGCAAATGAAGTTTCTGTTGCAAATCACTTGGCATCAAAGGAGCAAGGCCTAGTGTGAGGCAAAGGAGGATGGCAGAGAGCCCATCTGTGGTCCCTGTGGAACCTTCCAAGGTGGAAGAGCCCTAGAGCCAGAAGCAGGAGCTAGCTTAGTCAGGGCTTGCTTCTGTAAAAGGAAGGGAAGAGACCTAAGGCTTGTGGCCCTTTGCCAGTGTGTAGCTGGGTCTGAGTGGCTGTGTGTTCTAGTCTTCAGGCAGAAGGACCATAGAACATCCTGGTGTGTTCAGAGGATTGCAGGCAGGTCTTGTTAATGAGGTACTGGAGAAATATCAGACCTAGAGCATGTTCTTTACTCTGTTCACTGCATACCACCACTAACACCCACACACACACACTTTGCTTCATCCTGTCCATTGCTACTCAGGCTGTAATATGTGGTTCAGCAGCATAGATATTACTTGGGAATTTGTTAGAAATGGAGCATCTTAGGCCTGCCTGGTAAGTCAGAACCTGCATCGTAACAAGTCCAGTGCATTCATTGTGCCTGCCTGAGAAGACTGGTCTGGGTACTGTGTTACCTACTCCATTTCTTCATTCTTGGTCTGGATCTCCTTCAGTAGGAAAGGTATAGTCTCTTCGTGATTTTCATTTACCCTTACTGAAAAAGTCATTGGCAGAGCCCTGCTAAGGAAACTTCACAGAAAGGGCAGGAAAACCATATAGAAAGACTTTTTCAGTAGTGAGAAAGTCAGGAGTCCCAAGCGTGGTGAAGGCCCATGGCAGAAAAGGAGCATGCTTGAGTCCCCTAAGGCCAATGGAAGGAGATAATGTGCAGTTTATGGCCCAGTGGGAAGTAGGACAGGCTTTTTTCCATTTCTGTGGGCGGCAGACTTGTTACTTTATGAGGTTACCTCTCATTGGAGGTGGTGGCTTTCCTCATACCTGTGACTCGTATTTTCATGCTTTTATCCAGCTCACTAGAAATGCTCTCAATCTGAGGGGAAAAGTTTCGTGGCCAAG